CTCGTCTCTACTAAAAATATGAAAATTGGCCAGGCATGGTGGCTTATGCCTGTAGTCCCAGCTACTGACGAGGCTCAGGCAGGAGAATTGCTTGGACCTAGGAGGCAGAGCTTGCAGTGAGCCGAGATCGCACCACTGAGTTCTAGCCTGGGCGACAGAGTGAGACTTCGTGTCAAAAAAAAAAAAAAAACCCAAAGTAATAGACATACAGATTTCTGAAAACAGCTAGTTTGGGAGATGGGGAAGGGAAAACTATCCCTACTTCCCTTCCAATGTATTTTATCTCAAAAGTTTTGGTAATAGATGAATTGATTGTGTTGCTGAGCTTGGAATGGCTCTTAATTTTTAAAAAGAACTGAAATTCTGTATTATTTTTATCCTCAACTTTTTTTTTCCTTTTTCCCCCATGATGTAGTTTCTAGAGAACCAGTTATCAGAGAACCAGTTATCTGCACTCCGGTTTCCTCAGGCTTTGAAAAGTCAAAAGTCACCATTAATAACAAAGTCATTTTACTGAAAAAGGAGCCACCAAAAGAGAAGCCAGGTTGGTATCTAGTAATTAAAATACAGTATTTTGTTAAAGTAGCCCAAAATATTACATGCAACTGTCAAAAAACAGTGTGGTTTCTTGTTTGTTTTTTTAGGTTCAAAATATTTGTGGGTTTTCTGATTATGGGTTTTTTGTTTGTTTTTTGTTTGAGATAGATTTTCACTCCAGTCGCCCAGGCTAGAGTGCAGTGGCGCACTCTCGACTCACTATGAACTCCACCTCCCGGGCTCAAGCGATCCTCCTGCCTCAGCCTCCCGAGTAGCTGGGATTACAGGCACCTGCCACCACGCCCAGCTAATTTTTGTAGAGGTGGGGATTCACCATGTTGGCCAGGCTGGTCTCGAACTCCTGGCCTCAAGTGATCCGCCCGCCTCAGCCTCCCAAAGTGCTGGGATTACATTCATGAGCCACTGCACCCAGCCTTCCATTTTGGGTCATGCTTTTGAATTTTTTTTTAGCACTTGCTGAAATGTTTTGCAGTTGTTGATATTGCATCATAAATGTTAGCAAGAGCGTTTTTGTGTGTATTGTGAACAATGCCCCCAGCAAATTTATTTTGAAAGCTTCTTTATTAGGAGGAGGAACTTTCTGTGCCTGTGGCGTCATCCTGCCAGTAGGTTACAGTCACACAATAGGCATTCCGTTTTATGTTTCTGATCAGCTCTCCTTCAGATAGTGTGTACTTTTATTACATTTCAGAAGCCTTAATCAAGAAGAGAAAAGCTCGTTCCTTGCTTCCCCTGAGTACAAGCCTGGACCACAGATCCAAAGAGGAGCTTCATCAGGACTGTTTGGTACTAGCAACTGCAAAGCACTCCAAAGGTACAAAAATGTACTGCCTTGGCCCGTCCATAGTCTTCTGGGACTGACATATAAGGGATGTTTACTTAGCTATTGAATGAATGCCCAAAGAAATGTCTAAAATTGTTTTCTGTATTTTTATGTTCTCCAGCCTTCCCTTCCCTCCACATCCCTACACCCCTACACCCTGCTGCCAAACTCCCCATTGTGATCCACTGTCAGCACTGCCATGCCTTTGAGATGTAGTGCTCTGCTTTTATTCTAAATCTACTTCCTCCCAGCCATCTGTGTGCCAGAATTGGTATGTTGGCCTAAATATCTCAGCATGAATAAATTCCTTCAACTATTTTTCCCCATTGAACAGTATCCTAAATGGAGAAAAAAATTTTTCTTACTGGAAATATGCCCATAATATGGCAGTTTCTTAAAAAAAGCTTTTGGTGAAAGCTTTTGATGAAAGTTTTGTTTTGAAGGGTTTTTTTATTTTTGTTTTTCAAAGTCTTCATTTAATGTCCACTATTTTGATATTTTAATAACTTTATTTTTTTAATTTGGAATTTACATGTGGAAAAGGGATGCACATAATAAAATGAAATGGAAACAGTATAAAAAGAAAGTAAATCTCGCCGGGCACAGTGGTGCGTGCCTGTTATCCCAGATGCTTAAGGGGCTGAAGCAGAAGGATCACTTGAGCTCAGTTCAAGGCCAGCCTGGGCAACATAGTGAGACCCTGTCTCTACTTTAAAAAAAAA